TGTTTTCTGAAAGATAATTCTTGTAGAATGTCAAGACAGTATTTGTGTACCGTTATATCTGTGAAGTTACCTACGACTTATTGTCTGTCTTTAAATCGAAACACATACAAACTATAAAATACTTGAACTATGTGTATACCACATATATTTATAGACAAATATCAACTTAACAAATATTCGCAATTAACTCTTCATGATGAGAAACCTTGAGATATTTATTCATTTTAATCAGGTTCTTTATATTCTCCATAATTTGCAATTAATTTTAAAAATTATTAAAAAAAATAATGGAGTTCTCAACATACTACCCCAACATAATACCAAGGAACACTGATAAAAACGATTATAAATACCCCAGAAACCGTAATAGACTTCTTTAAATCACTTTATTGTGGGTATAAAAACATGAAACCTGGGGCAATGGCTGCGACCTTGCAACAATAGATCAAAAGTCATCACGTGGGCTGTCGCTTTACTCCAAAATCTAGGGTCATAAGCAACTAAAATCAGGGGAGTTGAGGCTAAGTATACGTTACAAAGGAGAAATTACTTGTATCTTGTCGATAATGGCTGAAAACCAAGAAACTACACCGCTTTTAAATGAAGGAACTTCAACTGGGGAGTCCAGTAAACCAGTATCCAAAAAAACCCGTTTGATTTTAGGTATTGTTGCAATCCTTGGAATTCTTGTGATTACAGGGTGGACAGTTTACAGGATTACCGAAAAAACACCATTGATCAATGATCCGTTAAAAGTCCGATTATACACACATAACATAAGATATGATAACAAGCGTCCAGGCCCGAACGAAGAGAAATGGAGCAAGAGAAGACAATTGGTTACGTCATCGATTGACTTTAATACAGACAGTGGTATGGCAAATGTGGTTTGTTTGCAAGAGGTGTTACATAACCAGTTGGAAGATATATTATATAACTTAAATGAAGGAAATGCTACAGACGAATGGACATATTTTGGAGTTGGCAGAACCGATGGTGAGGCTGAAGGGGAGTATGCGCCAATCTTGTTCAAGAGGGCAGAATGGAATGTTGTAGACAATAGCACCACTTGGTTGAGTGAATCTCCCGAAGTTCCGAGCAGAGGTTGGGATGCTGCTTTAGAAAGAATTGTCACCATGGTTACTCTTGAATCTAAATCGAACCCCTTTGTCAAATTGAACTTTTTCAATACCCATTTTGATCACAAGGGAAAGAAGGCCAGAAGGGAATCTGCTCGTTTAATAGTTGATAGAATGGAAAACTACAATGATTATCCTTCATTTTTATGTGGTGACTTCAATACAAGACCTACTGACGAGCCATATCAAATTTTGAAACTGCATGGTTTTAAAGATAGTAGGACATTGATCGATCAGTTACACAGCTATGGGCATAAAGCAACCTTCACAGGTTTTGATAACTTGCACGAAGATAACGCTATCATTGATTATGTTTGGGGTCCCTACTTTGCTAAGAATGGTTATCAATCTCCATCAATTTTAGAAGAGGAAGATATAAATTACTACAACCTTGATTTGCATGAAGCATATAAAGTTGTGATTAAGCAATATGGTGTTTTGCATTCACGTTTCCATGATATGTATATGAGTGATCATAGACCTGTTTCTGCAGATTATTATATCTATAATGCTTAGATTGCCAGTGAGTTATTGATACTCTTTAAATAAAATTATTTTAGCTATATTATTTTCGTAATGAATAGATTTAAAAATAGTTCGATTTGGTACTTCTGGTTATGCAAAAGCGGATACTACCATCGAAAAATATTTCGTTAAATTTAGAGTAGGTAGATTCCTTGATTCAATTCTCTATTCAAAATTTTATTTATTTACGTGCAGCTATATGCTATGGGATAAATAATCTTATTTGAAAGATTATGTTCTTCTCTTAGATACAGAAGTCGCAGAAGTCTTGACGGATGATGCCTTTACTTCATCGTCATCAATAATTTCTTCAATTTTATTTTGATCCTGATCTCCTTCACTATCAGGTTCATTAATCTTAGGGGTTGATTCAGATTGTTGCTCGTAATGGGTGGCCTGGGCACCTCCCGTTACCATGAATACAAAAGCCCCAAAAAGTCCAAACGCAAAAGTGAAAACTGAAACAAAAGCACAACAGTATAAGAAAAATACTGCTGGTTCTTGGATTATAGTTCCGACCGGGTTGCTCATAAATCTATAATAAAATGAACTTATATCTGAGTATTGATTGGCGTACAACATGCTGAAAATTTCACGTATTCTGCTGACGGTTGATTGATCATTATCATTTACAAAATCTTCGAAAGTAGGAGGAGGCGCTACCGGTTCATTTTTAACAGGGGGTCTATTGTGCTGTAAGTCGTAATCTTCAATGTCATACTTTGGCACAAATGTCTGGTTTCCAATTAGTTCGGCCTCCTTAATAGAGTGACCTAAATAGATATTATCAAATAAGATTTGACTTTTCATACTCCATAATTCAAAACCTAACCCTCCAATTAATTCCAAGTTTGATGGTTGTGCATCTTCAAAATAATTTGGATTCAATTTAGATCTTGGTTTCCACTCTCCTTTATAATTAGGATTTGGCATAACTGGTTGAATCCATGGTCCTATATACGTTGGGTTTATTATTAATGGTGGTTCCCATTTACCACAGCCAGAAGAACACTTAGGGTTACGTATTTCTGGAGCAAGCCATATTCCGTCTTCTTCATCATCCCATTCCTCAGGCTTATGAGCAGACGGATCTTCAATATATTCTGGCTCATCTTCATTCCAGTCTGCAGGTTTAACTGCCTTAGGATCTGGAATTAACGACAAACCATGTTTTAGGTCATAATCATCAGGCTTCTCCGCTTGTTCTGGGTCGGGAATGAATTTTCTGTCATCCCAGTCAATAGGCTTGAAGTCATCTCCATCGACAATTTCTTTGGGTGGGTTCAAAGGAGGTTTCATGAGTTTTGGCTTCTTAATTAAATTACCTGCCTTTGCTACTTCACCATTTATTCTAATTTCAAAATCTTGGTTTTTTTTCAAAACCAAAGTATACAATGTAGATAATTTCCCCGTACGAGACATAGGAGTGTTCACTAAATGCTTTTCTTCATATGTATTGGAAATTGGATTCAATCTTCTTAAAATAAAATGAATTTTATTCTCGGAACCACATTTGTCAGGTCCGAACATAACTTGATATGGTGTGTCATTATTAAATTCGTGATCCTTGTCAAAATTATAATCCAATAGCTTAATATAGGTTCCGCCGCATTCCAATCCGTCCTGTAATTTGACCTCGTACTGTAAAACCAAGTTCTTACCTGTATTATTAAAGGGCTCTTCCAATTTATATGAAATAGCATGGTGGGAAGCTGGCGATTTTAAAACCAATCCTTTGTCATTTGCGAACCCTGGATAAACGGTAGGTTCCTCTATATTCCATTTCCCAACATATGCGAACTCGTCGTCTTTCTTAGCATGGGAGATCTTCCAATCCGATTCTATAAGGGTGTTGTAATCGAATTGTTCAAAAAATGAAGACTTGTCTAGTTTAGACTTGTCAAATGGAGTGAATAATGGGTGATTGACATTGACAGCACTAATGAGACTACTTGCCAACAAGAAAGAGGCAGTAAATGAAAAGCAATTCAATTTCATGATAGTTATCTTTCAAGTATTAATTGTCAACCTTCATGAATTGATCTGTCCTGGAAATAGAATATTGAGTAGTGGACGTACCGTAAATATTCTTTTATAAGCCATGCTAAGTAAATGCAACAAATAAAGAAGATAAATGTCATTCGAATGTATATATGTCTATATAAGTATATAAAACCATGAATTCATATTTTGATTCATGCTAATGCAGAAGAGGACGAAAAACCCCTAAAAATAGTATAGGATTTAGGCTTCAGATTCTTCCAAGAGAGCAAATCTGTTCATATTTTTATTATCAGGTTTGCTTGGGGTGTTGTCGTCTGTACTTTGCTCTTGTTTATTTGAATCACCTTCAAAGAACTGCTGAACATAAGCGTCTTCTTTTTCTTTTTCAATCTGCTCTTCCGATTTCTCAGAGGGTTCTTCATTCTCCACCAAACCATTAGCGATGGAAATACCCTTGTTGATCTGGTCCCATGCAGATTTTCTTGAATTTTGAACGTATTTGGCTCTAGCAATACTTTGCTCGATTTTAGTGCTTAATACCCCGTCGACTTTGTTAGATCTTTCCAACCTATGTTTCAAACTATTGGTCTTCTTTCTATTCATTTTTTTTATTCTTTGGTTTTCCATTTTCTTATTGAGTAATCCTTCATTCTTGATTGTTGTTCTGATGATTGATTTTTTGACGTCGTCAGACTCTGCCTTTGGAAGTGAAGCTAAGTCTTTGGCCTCATCCATATTTTCAACAAGACCTCTTCTTGCTGCTCTGCTATGCTTTGAAACTATGCTATGTTAATAAATACTATCTCCAATATATTGTACTGACATATACAGATGTTACATACTTTTCTTTGCCATTTTTTTTTGACTTATCTATAATTTCAGAATGATTGCAGTCTCTAAATCTTTTTAACTAAAAAAAAAAATTCAATGAGCTTGAGATTATCAAAAAATGCGATAAGATCAACTACGGTATAAAATGATAACTTTTGTATAGTAAGCTTTATTTATAAATATTATAAATACTATAAATACTATAACTACTTATTCTAGTGATCTTTTTCCATTTTCGTTTGTTTCTGAAGACAGTCTCACAGCTTTAATGTAATCACTGCATGCTTTATCAAGACCATTTTGAAGCGGGCTAATGCATGTTGCTAAGTCTTTGCATAACTTTTCTTTCAACTTTGGTTTATCTTGAATTAAAGTACTATTATTAATCGTACTAGTAATTTTCTCTGATAATTGATTCAAGGAGATTTTACAATTCTTTAAACTTGTAAATATCTTCTTTAATTGATTTGGGTTAGTGCCGTTTAAGAACAATTTCCAAAATTGAGATAAAAATTCCATGATTGTAATATTGTATGTTATGATTTCTTGAATCATGGATTCAGGTACGATTGAGTTCTCATTGGATTCCTTGGATGACTGATTTATCAATTTGAAAGTTCTGGAATTTTGCTTGATCAAAGTTGTTATATCACTAGCAGATTTATTTATTTCGTCCTTTTTAGAAGAATACGTTTCAGTAAGATTAATGCCGTTGACCTGTGGTTGGAACGAGTTTCCAGACAAGAACGATGACAACTCTTCCGGAGACACATTCTGTATACTATCTTCTTGAGAGTCGACAAACATACTGTTGCTTTTGGTATTGATATTAAGTTCAACGTACTTCAAGTCTTCTATTTCATTTAAATCGTGTAGATTTAATTCTTCTTCATATTCGTTCACTTCTGCTACCGATAGGCCACCCTCCTGAGTTTTATGACTTTCAGCTGCTCCACTCATATGTACCATTTTGGATGATAATTTGTTCATATTCTTCATAAGAATGATCATTTCATTCTCCTGTCCCTTTTGCGGAGTTTTACCTCGCACAGTTGGATTTAATAATGCATTTTGCTTACTCACATCATCTGAGTATCTCATAGTTATATCGGGCATATTTCCTAACTTTTGAGAGTTGTCCTCTTCATTTCCTAAAAGATCCAAAAACTTATTGACTTGTACTTCATCCTGCAACTTAATTTTCTTATTTGACTCATCATTCACCTCATTCTCAAGGAAATCCAGATCGATGTATAAGTATTTATCTAATACAAAATCACCCCTTTCGTTAGACGTATTGATCTTATCACCTCTCAACCGTCTAAACAATTTAGAGTTAAAGAACCTTGACCAAAATTCTCCCTCTGGAAATTTCGCTGGAACTAAATCGTCGAATGCCTTTTTAATTATCGGGTAAGTAGAGAATATTTCATTTATAGTATCTCTAGTTACATTGACATTCACTTGATTGTCTGATGATGCTACGGGCTTAATTGTCGATAGTACATTGTACGGACCTTTCTGTTGGGATATAGTTAATGCATATGTTCTTAATTGGTTCAATCTTGTCAGCCAAAACACATTTGGCGATAACTTGAAGTTAATGACAGACTGGGTGAATGTGTTTCTCAAGTTTTTATCTTCCAATAGTAATTTCTGTTGTAATTGATGATTTTTTAAAAGACTCTGATCACTTAATGATTGGGGATTAGTGAATGACATCAGATTTGACGTTGATGTAGAACTACCAGAATTAGCACTTGACAGAGGTACTGGGGTTCCTGGAGCACTTGAGCTGGGTACTGGAGTAGGACTGTCTTTGATGACTGTTTTCTGTCTAGCAACAATGGTTTGTAGAGACTCTTTAATATTGTTCATTGTAGGCCTATTAGTGAAGGTAAGTCTTAGCTCTTTATCTTCATTGTTTAACTTGTACGAAACCAGCAATATCATCTTGGGTACTGTTTCTTTAGAAGCTCTTAGATTAGTTAATGAATTCAAAGGAATCGATATTGATTTCAGTTGATCTATTGCATTCCATTCTAGGACCAGCGGAGTAGTATCTTCTCTGATATGAATCATACCTGAGATCTTCGATACCATACAGGCACCAGATATCGAAGACATTATACCACTATCTATATATATTTCTCAGATATTAAGCGTACTATGCTACTTAAATTATGGTACTTATTATGGGAGGAAGCTTTGTGTAATTTTTCACTCATTATGGCCATATAAAAAAACTTCTTCTTATATCTACACTAAAGCATACCATAAATCGATACAATTATAATGCTAAGCAGAAACATAGGTATATCGACGCTTACTAAAAGAATAAATATTGCCAGAGGAATTGGCAGCTTACGGGTGTACACCAGGCTCAACAGCTCGATGTCTTCTCAAGTACCTCCTCAGAAACGTCCCGTCACTGTGGATAGAGAATTTCCAGATCCTTTCAAAGCCAAGAAGCAAAATAGAATATACTTTTTAGCATACGGGTTAGGGGTAACGTTGGCATGTGTCGTCATCTTCAACTACGAAAAGACATCGTCTCCAATCATTAATTCGGTCATGTACTTTTTAAGAAGATCGCAAAATGCCAAGCAACTGTTGGGTGACAACATCAACTTCAAGCAGTCGTGGCCATGGATATGGGGGACCTTAAATACTGTCAGAGGTGATATTGACATCGAATTTTCTGTTCAAGGGTCCCAGAACTCGGGAATATTGAAATTAAAGGCTACTCGTGAATCAAAGTTACATCCCTTCCACATCCACCATTGGGTTTTGCAAATAAATGACGCCCAGAAAACCCAAGTCAATCTCCTTGAAGATACGTCTGTTGACTTCGGTCTTTAATCCTTGTATATACTTCTTTTGTACCGATATATCATGCTATTCTATGTTTATGCTAATACACCGGAAAATTGGCACCCTCGGGTGTCAAAATTGGAAATTTCTCAACTCAGCCATTAATGGAAAGATTAAATTTAGTATTACGAACTCTTTGCTTGTACTAAATAGTATTATATAGTAGAATATCAATACTATTGTTAATAAATAATAAGAGCGAGTGTTTCTTTCGTTTTATTTAAAAATTCACTAGCTTATATTGGAGAAATACTTCGAACTCCCAGAACTTCAAGTGAGAATATGGGATATGATAATAGGCTTGCTGTTGGACTAGGAGTGGGTATCCCTTCGGCAATTATTATAGGTTTTTGTATCCTCATGTGGTATAGAAATGAGAGGAAACAGTCGAGAGAAGATCGGATGGATAATGAGATTGATTTAGGATTGAGGGATGATCAACTGTTCAACCAATTTGAGGAGGAGTTACATAAGAAGCGTGGTGCGAGAAACAAGTCTTCATTAACGCAGGAAGAGACAGAAGTAGATGGGAATGCTGAAAAAACGTATCAGACTTCGTTGTCTAATGGATCTTCGTCCACCACAAATTTTTTGGATCGGAGAGCAATAGCAGGGCACCAAAAAACACCATCCTCATATGATTTCTACGAGTCTGTGATTCCTATATTACCACCAAACGGATACAATAATGTATCGACGCAGTCTCCGGCAAGCTCCAATAACAATGTTCAATCAACTAGCAAGTTCAACAACGGGAGTATTGTTTCTCCGCCCCACATTCCGAACGACAATTTTGCTAGTAGCAATGAAAGTATAATAGCCTCTCCCACAACTGCAAGTAACGGCCCGGACAGATCGTTAGACACTTTGGCTAAGCAGTTGACCGGACCGTCTTATTTTGAGAAGTTACCATCAAGAGCTGCTACGGTCAGTTTAAAACAACGAAACCAAATAACCTCCAACAATTCGAGTAGCGATATTCTCACGAATAGCTTCCCTAGTTCCAAAAATCAACAAGTGCAAGATTCAGCTCCAGAGGTCCAACTGGGCTTTTATTCAAAGGTGCCAAAGTCTTCAACACACAGCAATCTTGCGGATATTGCTAACGGTAACCGAGTTGACACGGCTGATGAGATCGATGAATCTTTCGAAAAGACGAATGAAGATTCTGGAATTTCTCCATTAAGTATTAGGAAGAACGATAGTCATGAGGCATTTAAACCTGACGTGGTGTTCGAGTAATCTTATGATAACATTTTTCAGTCCCTTTCACTAAATCATTTATGATTGTGTCCTCTTGAAGTAAGCTAGTGCACAGTATTGATGGCTTCCAAACTTCTAATAATCTAAATATTTCAGTTCTTTCATGCTTCTTTATTTCTATAGTTATCATATAAATATCTCATATACAAAGTAAAAGCCTGTTCCCAGTAGTTAAAATGTCTCACAGAATGGTTGATAAATCTTTATCTCGATTTTTAAAATTCTTTTTATATATTTAAGAGACAAGAAATAAAGCCATGTTCAGACAATTGGGAAGACAATGGCATCACATAAAGAGGCCAATAAGGTCTCACATTTCCATAAACAGCTCCATTCGTTTTTCAAAAAATTATGCAACTTATAAGAGATTTGATAATTCACATTCAAATTTTGATTTCAAGAAATTCCTTTACAACAGAAACACTATTTACGTTGGTCTTTCTTTAGGTGCTTTCTACGTGTACAATTTGCATGAAGCCCCATTTACTGGGAGATGGAGATTCATTTGGATTCCGTATTGGTTAGAAACTAAGATTGGTGATTACAGTTACAGTCAAATTTTAGGGGAATACCAAAACCAAATACTTCCACCAAGCGATCCATTATATGGAAGAGTAACTAAGATTATGAATAGATTGTTGACAGCTGCAATATCGAATTTTCCTGATCAACAGCAGATAGAGCATTTGAAGAATTTGAATTGGTCCATTCATATTATCCAGGTCGATCCAAACAAGATTCCACCTAATGCATTTATTTTGCCTAATGGTAAAATATTTATTTTTTCATCAATTCTTCCTATCTGTCACAATGATGATGGATTAGCTACAGTTCTCTCACATGAATTATCACACCAATTAGCTCATCATTCACTGGAGCAGTTATCGAAACAACCGTTTTATATTTTATTGCTGGCTATTTTATACTCAATTACGGGGACAAGCTCGTTTAATAGTTTAATGATCGAAGGATTATTGAAAATGCCAGCATCAAGAGATATGGAATCAGAAGCTGACCATATTGGGTGTGAGTTAATGGCAAGACTGTGTTTCAATATTAATGAGGCAGTCCAATTCTGGCTAAGAATGAATGATTGGGAATCGAAATTGCAACAGAAATACAATACCTCTGGCTTAAGTTTCCAAGAGTTTTTCTCTACTCATCCCAATACTAATAAGAGAATTCATGACATTCAAAGCTGGCTACCTGATTTAGAAAGAATCAAGGAAAATTCACAGTGCTATGAATACCAATTCAATTTGTTTAATGATTCTCAACGTAACTTCTTTAAAAGATAATAGTCGTATATACATGATCTATATTTAAATATTTACAGTGATTTCTTCATCGTCTTGGCTTTCTGACTTTCTTGACTTTTTTGCTTCATTAAACATTTTGCTAGTATATACTCCTTCGCCTTCAATGTATTCGATAACTAATTTATCCTTAGATTCGACAATCCATTTATATGGAGAAATTTCAATTAAAATTTTATAATGTATGAAATTCGTCTCTTGGGTGTTATTCATTTTAAGTAGATAGCATTCAATAGTTCCTAATCTTTTCCGATTAGAGGCATCCTTACTTGAAAAAAATGGTAAAGATAACTTGATAAAATCTTGGAAGTTTTGTTGCAACGGAGACCTTGTTTCACTATCTTCAATTGAATCAAAATCAGGTACTGGTGCTGACAGTACAATAAAGGTTTCAATATCATTTTCATTTAGCTTTATTGAGACTTGCTTGTTTTCGTCAATAAATAAAGAAAACATCTCGTTATGTTGATCTTGATTGAGTATAATGTAATCTATAATTCTTCTCTCAATAATCTCAATAACCTGTCTTTTGAAGTTATCAAATTCATTATCAATTCCATTGAGCACATTAGATATTTCAGCCTCGTTATATTTACTTATGATGATATCATTATCTTTCGAATTAAACTGTTCCTTTGACTTTGGTATTAATTTCTGAGATTCTGTTGCATACTGAATTTTCCTCCATTTGGTATACAAATACCAACTTCCTAACAAAACTGGTGGACCGACTGTAATTATGATATTAGGATGTATATGTGACATGGATATTGCAACTATGGCAATTGAAGAACAGTATTTGAATGTCGGTGAAACTTTTGTATTCCATAACAATGAAATAGGATTTAAATTTGCATGGTAAGATTTCCTTGGTGGTAAAGAGGAATAGTTTCTTCCAAAGATAGACCTTAGGTTAATAGGTTTATTGAGAACCCATCTCTTCAAAGGAATCTGCAGGTGTGTTATCAACATTGTTGAATTTGATGTTATAAGCTACTATTTTTGATAGCTGAAAATACATCGCAAAAAAATAAGGAACCGTTTTTCAACTTGCAAAAAAATTGATATCTTTTATCATAACTGATTTAATTCAAAGATGGGAAAAGCCGATATTGGAACTGCAAAATATCAATCAAAACAGTTGAAGGCATCCGGATTACAAAGGTTACGCTTTTATTGTCAAATTTGTGAAAAGCAATGCAGAGATGCAAATGGGTTTAAAAATCATATAAATTCTTTATCACATCAAAAAAAAATTACTTCATTAAAGGATGGTGGTTCAAGTATAATAGAGGAATATTCTAATCAATTCCTAAAAGATTTCATCAAATTGTTAAAGATAAATCACGGTACAAAGAAAATAAACGCAAACAAATTTTACCAAGAGTATATTCTAAATGATAGAGATCATGTACATATGAATTCAACAAAATGGTCCTCATTGACCCAATTTGTGAAGTTTCTAGGCAATAAAGGATATGTAAAAGTTGAGCAACCCGAAACAGATACTGACACAGAATTTAATCTAGTTATAAGGCTTATAGATTCAGAGTACTATCAAAAACAACAAGAGTTGATGCAAAACCAAAAGAATATAAAAACCGAGGAGCAGATGTCGATGAAGCTTATAAATGACCAAATTAAAAAAGGACAAGAATATATGAGTAAGCATAAAGAAGAATTTAAAGAAGACTTGACGCCAAACATCATAAATCCCAATCAACCCATTAAAGTATCATTGAAATCGTCTATATCTAGAAGACCGAAGGTCCAATCGGCTTTTGGTAATGACAGCGAAAGCGAGGGAGAAGATAGTATAGAGGAGGGAGAAAGAAGAAAGCAGACTAAAGGAAAAAACAATGCAAAGATTGGTGAAATAACTAATAGAATAGCTGTTAAATCTAGACGTTGATTGTGTATATAAATATTAGTATTTACTTATCTTACCTTCTTTCATAACATAATACGTAAACATCCCTTGAGTTAAGCTCATTAAAGTCTATATTTGGCTTGTTGATATCACCATGTCTTAAATTAATTCTTACTGTATCATCATCAAAATAGCACCAACAAGGATGATTCATATCATCATTATTTGAACTAGGAATGGATTTATTAACTAACGATGTATAATGCCCACTTTTCAAATTTCCATAATGGTTAATCAAACCAACCAATTTATATGTTATTTCGTGATTAATATTGTTTGAATAATTGTTAAATTTTAACTCTAAAGGATATTTAATAACCTTGTTCACCTTGTCAGTCATACTAGTCATAGAAAACCTGGCCAAGTGTATAAATAAAATGCGAGGCAATTTTATAAAATTAAGCGTTTTGACAGAAATAGAATCATTCTTTGAATCCTTTGCAGCTGCACTGATCGCTTTGGCTTTGTCTCTAGAAGGAGATTTACTTCTCCTACCTAGTTTAAAGATACCACTTCTTTTGGACGTAAAGACTGGGTGGTTATCAAGTGAATTGGGAGGATAAAGATGATCTCCGTCTTTATTTTTTGAACATTTAGGGCAATTCCAAGCGTTATCACCACTTAATACTTCATCTTGTGTATAGTATCTTAGACAATCCGATAAATTTATTCTCGCATTGTAGTCAGGAATGGGTAATGATAATATGGTAAAAGGAGAATAATTAGTAGATTCATAACCACATTTATTGCAGGTTAATTTGTTTTGCAAATGACCTTGAAATAAGTCATTAATAGGGGAGTTTCCTTCGCTTTTAATGAGGGTCTTATACCAATTTAGATAATTTTCTTTATCTTTAGCATTGATATTAATGTTCCACTTTAAAATGTATCTTTCTAATGTTGCTGAATCAATATCTCTCGCATCAAGCGCCTTGTAGGATAACTCATCATGTAATCTTTCTAATACAAATAATAGAAACTCCTGGGCATCCTGTTGTTCATTAGGAATATTGAAGTCAGGTTTTATTGCCGAAGAAATTCTTAAAAATTTAGTCGGAGCTATGGCCGCTCCTCCATGAGCTTGGAAGGACTTTAACAAGCCTGCTATAGCCTCTGATAATAATTGAGATGTCTTCGAGTTGCCTTGATGCTCCATAATTCTTAAGAACTTAGGATCTTTTATGTATTTGGCATAATACAGATTAGCAAAAATGGCCTTGAACTGAAACAATCCAAATAACAATTGAATAGTCAGATTTATATAACAGGATGATCCAAAATTCTTCAATCCACATATTGAATATGCTTTCATATAATTTATTTTTTGCCCCACTTGGTGGTTTTGTTGTTGTAATGCATGATTTGGAAGCATTAAATGAGGAGGTGGTTGAGAAATATACTGATTTGAAAACAGGGGATTAATATATTGATTGGGAACGTTAGGGTTATCACATGTCATATATTGGTTATTTCGATTGAACTTTGACATGTCGCCATTAGAAATTTGGGATTGTGGAGGAATACTTGATACAGGTCTGTTATAACTCGAATATGTCTTATTGACATCTGGTGATGGAGCTTTAACGAAATTGTTAGTACGTATATCTTGGTCGTAAGATTCAAAACTTGGGTTGCTATAATATAGGCTATTAGAAGAAACATTTTCAGACACTGGATAAGGTGCTGTTACTATGGATGTATTTGTATCAATAGGATAGGGAGTTTCCTTTGAAGCCTTAGGTGGAGAATGGGATGGAGATGAGGAACGATCGAATGAAGAATGACGTGGTAATTCAGGTGGAGCATTGAATGGGATTGGAGGAGGCATAGATGGAATTGGCGGAGTTATAGATGGTATTGGAGGAGGTATAGATGGGACTGGAGGAGGCATAGATGGAATTGGTGGAGGTGTCGAACTTTTGGAAGAAAGATCAGTACGCAGCAAGAAGCGATCATTTTTGAAGTCATCAACAGGCTGGAATGATAAGCTTTCTCTTGAATCGTTAATTTCATTTAGAGTAAATGCTGGATATCTATTCTTAAAATGATTGAGGGATTCATTGTCATCAGAATCATTCTGTATTTCTGATAAGCTATCAGACAGGTTTTGGGAGGATTCTTGACCAGTGTGTATGCCGACAAGGTTTGCATTTATATTATTCATCTTCTGCGATTTCAGAATTTGATTCGGTTGAACTAACTGTTCTTGTGATTCAAATTCATCCTTTTCCTTTAGGTAGTCAATGTATTCGTATAGCCAATTGTACAAAACATGTACATCAAACTTCAATAGCTTTTTGGTAATAAGATATCCGAGTATCCACTTCCTCAATATGCCCAACGGAATAGAACGGGTGTCTGTTTTGATATAATCATCGGTGTTATAGAACGTGAATAAGTGCAAATATATAATGAAATCACGCTCATTAGACCTTATAAATTCATCAAAACCATTAAAATGCATAATTATAAGACTATTGATAAAGTAATTGAAGATCAAGTACCCTTTGATAAATGTTTTTAATCCCTTCTCCGTGCTGATTACTCTTGTCAGATCTTCATATAAAAGCTCACAATAATCAATCAAATCAAATAATGACTTAGATTGTAAATCAGGATCTAACTGTAAATTTCTAAATTCTTCATTTATAAGGCGAATGTAATATGTTTTGATTTCGTCCTCCTTACTAGGGGAACTTGATTCTTGACTTTGACCTTGACCTCGTACTCTGTGATTCAAGTTTAGTTGATCCAGAGATCCATTAATATTACTATGTTTTATTGTTGACATGGAATATATCTATTAATAATTTTGACTGGGTCGACATGTATTTAACTATCTATTATGCATTTATCAACATTCAGTATACCATGTATTCATTTATCTTTGAATAGATTTTATATGTTCTATTTTTTGCGCTGCGTGAACTAAAATGAATTTTGTAGATTTATAAAATAGTTGCGAATTTATATGATATATTTATGTACAAATAGAGATTAAGATGGATTGAAAGGAATCATACCGAATATACTAATAAGATTATCATACACAGAGCCATTATTTTGGTTCTCTGTCTCATTGTTCGACGGCGCTGTTGAAGAACCCTCTTTATTGAAAACGTTATAAAATAACCCGTAATCTTCTTCTCCTACTGCTTCTTCTTCTTCATACGGCGGTTCATTAATATCATTATTATTAGTTTTGTCAGCAGTTGCGTTAGTATCAACAACTGACAGCAGCTCTCTTACTGTTTGTTGAGAAGTATTGTTTGGAAACATATGTGAGGAAGGTTGCGAATTTGGTTTTTGATTTGAAAGTTGATCCAGACTTTGGCTGATAGCTTGGTTTTTTTGCTGAGGCTGAACCAATGGCTGAGGTTGCTGACTTTGTATATCTGTCAAATTTCTCATGTTATCCCAAAAGTCTATACCGTCCTCTAATTCCTTGTCATCTCTTTGCAGTTTAGATTTTTTATTGTGGTAGGCAGTGCTGGTGTTAGATCTCTTGCGAGAATGAGCCGACGAAGGGACATTTTCTCCAGCTTCTGCCGCAGCTGCCATTTCTACCGCTTGAGTTAAAGGAGTTAATGAATTAGATCCCGGAGGTGTTGATTCAGTAGATACCATTGCTCCCTTATTTCTCTCTTGAAGCTCTGGTGTAGTTTCATTATTATATCTGTTTAATAGTTTGATCAAGTCAGACTCCTTACTATTCGATGGGTCTTTTCTCTCTTGCTTCTCGTTTTCATTATCATGATGGTGATGATGGTGATGATGGTGGTGGTGATGGGTTGGATTATTCGTGTCCTTAATAGTTGATGGTGGAGATGATGAGGAATTTAATTTTGGTACTTCCGTTAACGGTGGTAAATAGTTGAAGTGTTGATACCTAGTCAATTGAGTCTCCGGCTCGAGATAATATGGAGATTGGTAATTTTTGTTCATTTCATTTGGAGGAATGGAATCGTTAAATCCTGGATCATTTACTGAACTAAATTCATTATTATTGCCATTAGAAGACAGACCTAAAATACTGAAAGGGGATTGCACTGATTGATATGGATAATTCGGTACTTCAGGAGCTTGTCGTTGTTTTTGTATGTGTCTATTGCCTGGCTGTGAATAATGATGATGTATATGTTGATGTACGGTAATGTTCAAGCCGTAGGTCTTAGCATATGAGATAAGCTGTTGAACTAATTCTTGGTTCTTAATATTTCCATTATTTTCATCAGAGAACAATGCCGTATGGGGCAAATTTATGTTATTAGGTTTACCATCCTCTCTTTCCAAGGTATATTTCCATTCAACTTCACTATTAACCGGCATAGTAATTGCACTTTGAGCTGGTGGTCTAGCAATTCTTTGCTGGTACTGCTGTGGGGCCTGGCCTGATTGTTTAGGGTACGATCTTTGCGCTTGGAAAGTATCCGGCTGTTCAACGCTAGTGGACTGGGAAGATGTATTTAATGGATATGGTGTTGATGAATGGGAATCGGATTTTGAATTAATTAAGCTCTCTTGACTCGAATTTTGTATACTTTTGCTACCTTTACCTATATTTTCCAATACTTTGATATTACCATTGGCAATGGTGTCAACTTCCTTTTTGATAATCGGATCTGCTTTACCTCTAACAACATCAGTAACTATCTTTCTCCACCTATTACGACAAGTTAACGATGGTCTACCTTTGATTTCTAATGCAATTGTTCTCCACTTCGTACCGTGATTTTTAACCTGTCTTATCAATTGGAGATCTTCATGGTGTTCCCACGGTTTAAGTCTATCTTTCGTGTCAGGATCTAATACTTCGATATATCTTTTGGCACATTGATCATCTGTTCTCCCTGAAATCTCGTTTGAAACCTTTTGCCACGATGCACCATGCTTTTCATAAGCTTTGATCAACTTCTCATCCTCATCTTTAGTCCATTTTCCCTTTTTCAAATTGGGATCCAATGAGTTGCACCATCTCTTTCTGCAATCTTTAGGTTTCCGTTCGCCATTTGGATACATTCTTTGTGCTATTACATCCCATTTGACAGTATCTGCATCCAAATTATTTATTTGACTGGGGTGCAATTCATTTATTACTCGGATCAACTCGCTATCTTCGTATTTGCTCCATGGCTTTCTTGACTCGCGGCGAAATGTTTGAAAACCAAGAGATTCGGTAATCGTGAGTGGATCTATTTGGGTTAGTCTTTTTGAATTAGAAGACTCCATCGGTTCTGTGAGCTTTACTATGATATATGGGCGTTTTTATTATGGAACTATATTTACGTATAAAGACTGTAACAACCTCGATTTTGCTCTTTTCTTCGGAGTTTTCCTCTAATTATATCTCGAATAGCTAACCCAACGCTATGTTTCAATATGTCTCAATAACTCAATGGGTATATTGTTATGGTACGCCGTTCGCTAGAAGATGTGTTTATCAAAGAGGAGTCAGAAAAAATTTGACTCTAGTTTCTCATTACACAAAACTAAACAACAAACCTCCTACATATAAGTAGCACTTGGTTCCAATCCATCAAGGGCATCGAGATTGCAATAATGCAAAAGGAGTGGAGCTTAGGCTTGCTGTTCGCCTTTGGATATCCTATGGTTCTTGTTCTTGATTAATCTCAACAAGTTTCTTAAAAGCATGGCAATTGTGACCTTCCCAATCGAAGGAACGTATAAGCCAGCCTTTTGCTTTACTTCATCAGGGAAATTCTTAGAACTCGAAAAGTTAATAACCACGGAACCGTTAGTAATGTATTCAATGGGGAACTTGTAGGAGTCTGATGGAACCCCGGTAATAATGACATCACAGGTAGGAGCCAACGATTCTACTGTGTGGGTAGAATCCAATTGGACGGCCTTGTGTCTTTTTTCCAGCAAATCGTCACCTCTACTGTATTGCTGTATATTGTTTATGTCCACAGAATAAACGGTGGCCCCATCATTGGCTAAGAGAGCTGCAAGAGGACGACCAACAATCTCGGATCTGTTCACAACCATGATCTTCTTCCCATAGAGCCTGTTACCGTAGTGCAAGATCTTGTTATACACACCCAAATATTCCAAGATTTTGACCATGGCCAATGGTGTGCATGGTAAGATGCACTTTTGCTCGTTATATGGAGCATCTAAAAATCTGACATTGTGGTATAAGTTATGGTAGTACATGAAGTTCAATCCTTCCACATCCTTTTCAGTGGAAATTAACTGTTGTAAATATTGGTCCTGATTGTCCCCAAATACCGGGAAATAGACCATTATACCATTCACATTGTCATCTTTATTAGCCTTAATTAACGAACTTTCCAAGTCGTTCTTATCTACTTGGATTAATTCATACTCAAAACCTAATCCTTCGCATGTCTTACCTGTCCAATTAGCATACATTTGCGCTGCCGGATCATCGTTAGCTAAAAAACCTACTAACTTAGGTTTGAATTTTAATTCTGTAAGTTGAGCAGTAATCTCATCGACAAATTCCTTAGCAATTGTTGAAGCTAAAATGGTTCTTCCAGCTGGCTTAGTATCCGCTGACATTATTGTTGAAATGAATGCTATAACTGTTTTGTATGATTGTCTTTAGAAAAGAAGTTAGATATATATGTAGCCACGTTCACGAGTCTATTTAATTAATTGATAACGAGCTTTGTACGAACGAGGTCAAATGAAATTTTCATTATCGATTACTGACTCCGTTAGCAAAATTAAATAATGCGACTCCGACTAGGTACTGAATTATAACCAGAATAGTTGCAAAATGTAGAAATCATATATATGAAAGGCTATCGAAAGACTTGGACAAGTAGTATACTTCTGGAGGAGGCTACAGTTGAGTGTTTATGTTTTCATCCTACGATAAAGCTTCATGCAACATGATAGAATCGCAAATTTCGGTTATCATTGCTATGGACGTGGGAAGGTCTATGTATATTTTGGATACATCGATATAATATGATAAGCTAATATTTTTAAGAATCTTGAAAAGAATTTATCTTAAGTGGGCACTGGCGTTTTTATACAAACTTTGCCAGATAAACGCCTCACTTAACATTAGTTCAATGTCTTTTTCAGTCCAATAAGTAGTAGGAGGGTTCTGTAAGAAAAGTAGAATTTCCTGGAAGTCCTTATGCTTCAATTCACTACTAAACTTGATTAAGAATGCTGCGCAGACATAAATATGGAAATTATTAAAACCCAATGGAGATTCACTAAGATAAGTGTCCCACATTCTAATGATCAAGGGAATGGATAACTCTCTCATAAGGAGACAATTCATCCATCTGAAGGCAAACTGAATGAACTCAACCCCTTCATTGTCAAAATGTTGCAACAATTCCAAATCTATCTTCGAAATTAAGTTACGTAAATCATTGACTTGTCTAATAATACCAGGCTGTTCATGGATATAATTATCTGTAATATTTTCCAATACTCTAGACAAACACCAATACGTATCTGCCTCGATAATAGAAATTATTCTCGGTGATAACTTCGCAGGATTAAAATTACCAATATTGTAGTTCATAAGATTTGGATCATTAAGCAATTCTTGCTCTTTATTATCAGAATCATCTAGTAAGCCAGGTATGAATAATTGTATATCACTATCATCAGCGGGATTTTGGCGATTTGCAGCTACCTTCTGCAATTGCCATATATAATTATTCAAAAAAATCTGGTAAAATGGAGTGCACAAATCATTAATACCTTGTACATATCCACTAGCAGGATGTCGAACAGCCCATAAAAATAAAATCTTTCTAAGGGATTGTTGCGTTTCAGGATAAGCATATAATTTAATGGTGGGGTTGGTTCTTTTCACATCAATTTTAATCTGGTGATAAAGCTGTTTATCACGGTTACTATTACTATTACTTGCAGAAGAAAGTGATGCTGATGAATTATTCGATGGAGAGTCATCCGAAAATTTAATTTGTGAGTTAACAACACTTAACCCATCTAGGTATTCTTCTCTTTTTCTTTTTAGCGTTGAACTTTGTCTAGATTTATTTGTTGGTAGATAGCCCAATAGTATTTGCCAAGTAATAGCTCTCAATTCACACGGTATCCCATTCCACGAAAGCCTTCTTAACTCTTGAATTGATATATTAGTATCATTAGTTATCATTTTGCGGAATTTGGAATATTTCACATTAAGTTGATTCAATTTGTTAATTTCTAACTTAGTTTGTAAATCGTCGTAATCTAATGATTCTTTATTGGAATCATCCTTATTATTATGAGTGTTTATGGGAACTGTTAGATCGGGATGCAACGAATCAAGCATTGGGCTTGGCTGCAAGCTCAAAGAATTCCTCGTTGAATTCGCCGACGCATTATCAGTATTTATTCTAGATAAATTCTTGTTTTCTAGAGAACCTCTATTAAGTGAGGGAACAGATACTTCTTCCAAATCTGCATCCCAATCATCATCCAAATCGGCATATCTTTGACGACCTGAAAATGTACGGTGTCCACTTTTATGACCAGTAGATGCATGCAGACCCAGATTCTTATATGGAGATGACAGGCCATGTTTGCTGTTAGAATTACTGGAAACCTTGGCATCACCAGGAGGTGTGGCCAAATGTGAAAAAGATGCTCCTACTGGCCCAGAAACCGACCGTTGGTAGGGTGATTTCTTAAAGTTAGGTGTCTTAATAGACCCGCTATTTTCAACGTTTTTCTCATTTGGTGAATTAGCACCGTACGAAAAATTGCCATATATGCTGCTATTGATATCATTATAGTGATCATTGCTTTTGGAATTAGAATTTGAAGATGAATTGGAGGAACCTGTTAGTGATAGATTCTTTAAAAATGAGGATAAATGCTTCCCTTTTCCTCCATTTTCTCCAAAAATGAATTCATTATTGGAGTTACTATAGACTTGAGACATTTCTTGTTTCTTCTTCCCCATAGTCGAAACAATTAGATGTATCCAAGTATAATACTTTATAAAGATCTTATGATTAGTGAAAGTGGGCCTCAATCTCTATTTACGCATAGTTTTTGTGTAATTGCATACTAAGAAATTACATTCACTAAACGAAGAAACGAAGTTTATATAAATATAAATATAGATAGATGTATAACTATATATAAGGAATAAATGTTAGGAATGTAGATTAAGCGGTAATTTCACCCTTAACAACAACTGAACCTGGTTTCAATTCTCTACCGGAAACATGTAAAGTACCGTTTTGGGTAATGTTAACAATAACTTCTAACTTAGAGTTTGGCTTTAAGTCCTTTAATGATAATTCTGCTAACAAGTCACCACATTCATAGACAGCTTCCCTTCTAATTTCTGGTTCGTCATCAGAGTAATCATCATCAGATTCGTCATCGTTTTGCTCAGGTTCAATGACAGTTTCTTTGATGGTTTTCTTACCTTCGTATAAACCAACAAGAACTGAATCGGATGAACCGTTAGTGACTTCGATAGACTTCTTGATTGGGTAGGCAGTTTCAGCAACCAATATTGGTTGGAAGTTACCTTCGGCATCCTTGATACCGATGGCCTTCGATAAATGTTGAGTATTGACAACTACTGGTTGCAAGGATTCTTTGATTTCTTCTTCATCGAAAGATTCGATCAATGAAGCTTGTAAAGCAGCACCACGACAAACTAATTCTGATGGGTTGACAGCCTTTGAGTCTAATGATGGTGCAATAACAGTGGTAGATTCTGGGAAAATGAAAGAGATGTTACTAGCCAATTTAGGAGTATGTGCGGTACCACCGACTAATAAGATTTCGTCAATGTCCAAGTTTTCTAAACCGGCCTTAGAGACAACCTTTTCAACGAAACTGGTCATATCAGAAATGACTTGTCTAGCAGTCAATTCATATCTCAATCTGTTGATGGTGGTGTGGAAATCTAAACCATCAGCTAATGATTCGATAGAACAAGTGGAGGTTTGAACGTTTGATAAAGTCTTCTTGACAGTGATGGATTCAGAATTCAATTTAGCTAAAGATCTAGCAGTAGTTCTTGGGTTAGCCTTATATTTCTTTTCAAATTCTTTAGCAAAGTACTCAGCTAAGACTTCGTCCAATTTGGAACCACCTAAACCATGACTATGGGCAGTGGCCAATATAGTTAAAACACCACCTCTAACGGCGATAACAGCAGCATCGGATCTAATACCACCGAAGTCAGCGACAACATAGATTTTGTCTTTTAACAAATCTTCACCTTCGGATGATAAGTGGGCTAACAAAGCAGAAGATGGTTCGTTAATTAATTGTAAGACCTTTAAGCCGGCGTCGGTTGAGATCTTAGCTAATTCATTTCTTTGATGTTCATTGAAGTCTGTTGGCACGGTAAGGACGACACCTTCGATGGACTTACCAATGTAATCTTCGGCAGCAACCTTCATTTGTTGGAAATGTCTCTTGGTGGCTTCATTGACACTGACGGTTTCAACCTTTCCATTTTCTCTGGTGATTTCAAAACCAATTTTATTATCGGATGTCTTAATGGCTGGTGCACCAATATCTGTGACCGAAACATCAACTTCATCTAAGCTCTTACCAATAAAATCTCTGAAGTTCACAATAGTGTTCTTAGGGTTTCTAACTAATTGTGCTTGGGCTTGGGCTCCGTGATATTCGTCAGATCCAACGTATGAAAGAACGGATGGAATTGAACGATCACCATCAGGGTTGGCGATAACATCAACTTTTCCGTCTTGGGTTGCGACTGCAATAGAAGACGATGTGTTACCGAAGGTAATACCAATTACGGCGGACATTATATATTCAAATATTAATCAATTCGTTGACCTAAAAAGAATCTAGTATTCTGTCTAGTCTTGCAAGCTATCTAGTACGTGAAAAAAATTTTGATGAGGTTCAATTATTCGGATTATATAATCAGCACAACCATATAGCTCCAAATTAGTACCCATTTTTATGTTCCCTGTCAATCACAGTATCAAAAGAGAGGATGAGTATTGAGGCAAATACAGCCCTACAGTCTTACAAGCTTGCTGAAGAAAAAATTATAACTTTGATTTGACGTCAATTGTCATAGTGTAGAATTGCTCTTCTTAGTAGAGAAGAATTGAAATCTTGC